GTATGGTATTGGGAATTAGTAAAAAGATAGCAGGATTACTATAAAATAAGAGAAGGTGGATGCGAGGAAATGCAGCGAAATGTGTTCCAAACACTTGTGTTATGAATGCTCTCTTGCAACCAGACCTCGCCGGTGGGTTTCCTGTTATTCTGTGAACAATGCTACCACTGTTGCTGTTTTTAAACACACAACTACAATTGTAGTACTACACAAATCTGAATAAATTAGATAGATTTCTCTTATTAATAAACACATATATAACTGAGCTTCAAGCAGTAGCCACTGCCAGAGGTATCCTCGGGCAGTATCCACTGCCCGAGGATACTGGACCAGTACCTGGCTGCTGTGATGAACTGGATGAGGAGGAACAAGCTAAGGATCAATCCTGACAAGACAGAGGTCCTCTAGGTCCATTGGCCGTCTGACCGGGATATTGGGTGGCAACCTGTGCTGGATGGAGTTGCACTCCCCCTGAAGTCACAGGTCCACAGTTTGGGGGTTCTCCTGGACTCAGCGCTGACACTTGAAGCTCAGGTGTCGGCGTTGGCTGGGAGAACCTTTGCACAATTAAAACTCGTGTGCCAACTGCGACCATGCCTCGTGAAGTCTGGCTTGACCATGGTGGTCCATGCCTTAGTTATCTCTAGATTGGATTACTGCAATGCACTCTACGTGGGGCTACCCTTGAAGACGGCCCAGAAACTACAACTTGTCCAACTCTCGGCAGCCAGATTAATGACTGGGGCAACTTATAGGGAGCATTCATCCCCCTGTTTAAGGAGCTCCATTGGCTACCGTTCATTTTCCGGACCCAATTCAAGGTACAGGTTCTTACCTATAAAGCCCTAAACCAGCAGTTCTTAACCTTCCTCATGCTGTGACCCCTTAACACAATTCCACATATTGTGGTGACCCCCAACCATAAAATTATTTTCCTTCCTACTTCATAACTGTCATTTTGCTACTGTTATGAATCGTAATGTAAATATTTGATATGCAGGATGAATTCTCATTCACTGGACCAAATTTGGCACAAATACCCGAATGCTCAAATTGGAATACTGATGGGGTTGGGGGGTTGATTTTGTCATTTGGGAGTTGTAGTTGCTGTGATGTATAGTTCACCTGCAATCAAAGAGCATTCTGAACTCCACCAGCGATGGAATTGGGCCAAACATGGCACACAGATTTCCCATGACCAACAGAACATACTGGAAGGGATTGGTGTCATTGACCTTGAGTTTTGGAGTTGTAGTTCACCTACATCCAGAGAGCAATGTGGACTCAAACAATGATGGATCTGGACAAAACTTCACATGAATACTCATAATGCCCAGATGTGAACACTGGTGGAGATTGGGGGAAATAGACCTTGATATTTTGGGAGTTGTAGTTGCTGGGATTTATAGCTCACCTACAATCAAAGAGCATTCTGAACCCCACCAATGAAAGAATTGGGCCAAACTTCCCACATAAAACCCCCATGACCAACAGAAAATACTGTGTCTTTAGTGATCCCTCTGACACTCCAGGGGTCCTGACTCCCAGGTTGAGAACCACTGCCCTAAACGGTTTGGGACCCACCTATCTTCGTGATCATATCTCTCTCCATGAACCAGCCCGAACTCTTTGATCTTCGGGGGAGGTCCTCCTTTCGCCCTTGCCAGTTTCTCAGACTCGCCTTGTGGGTACAAGGGGGAGAGCCTTCTCCTCTGTGGCCCCTCGACTCTGGAACTCATTGCCTGGAGAGATTAGGAAAGCCCCTACCTTAGAAACCTTTAAAAAGAATCTCAAGACCTGACTCTGCCATTGCGCTTTCGGAGAATAGTCACATAATCCTAAACTATTGCGCCACTCAGCGTCCTTGTCCTAGGAGTACACCCAGCCTTGTAGGAAGGTCTGTCTACTACCCTGTCACTCTACGATTTCTCCCTCACAAATGATTCTGCCCTTTCATCACCCTGAGTTTTAATTAATTTTATGTACATGCGGCATGCACACTGTCACTATGTTTGGTTTACTGCTTTTTATGTTTTGTGTATATTGTTCACTGTATATGTCATTTATTTTATTGTAATTTGCATTTTATTTTATTGTAATTTGTTGTTTGGGCTTGGCCGCCCCGAGTCCTCGTTGGGGGAGATGGTGGCGGGATATAAATAAAGATGATGATGATGATGATTATTATTATTATTGTATTGTCGAAGGCTTTCATGGCCGGAATCACTGGGTTGCTGTAGGTTTTTTCGGGCTATATGGCCATGGTTTAGAGGCATCTTCTCCTGACGCTTCGCCTACATCTATGGCAAGCATCCTCAGAGGTAGTGAGGTCTGTAAAATGTCAATTGCCATTTATGACATCTGGCGATGCATTTGCTTGAAATCCCTGCAGGTTTTGCAGACATATACAGACCTCACTACCTCTGAGGATGCTTGCCATAGATGCAGGCGAAACGTCAGGAGAAAATGCCTCTAGACCATGGCCATATAGCCCGAAAAAAAACTACAAGAACCCATTATTATTATTATTATTATTATTATTATTATTATTATTACTACTACTACTACTACTACTACTACTACTGCTACTCTATAATAATAAGATGAGGTCATATACATGAAGGCAAAGTTGAGGAGGGGTTTGACCTCAGTGAAAAACCCCGAATGACCCCGGTTCCCTTAAGATTCAAAGTCTGGGGAAGCCCTAGAGTACATTCAGTTGTCACCATCCCTTTTGAAAGGGGTCATCTGTCACCATCCTCAAATTCCGAGGTCATCTCAGAAACTACAGTCAAGTTGTCATTCTCACCACGCAGGCCAATGCCAAAACAATCTGACAAAGCACTTTTATAAATAGGACATGTCGCTAAGTCACCCGGACTAATGTCTGTCCCATTTAAAGACTCCAGGCCACTGCTGGAGCCAATCCAGGCCCAAAATGTTTCAGCTGTCAGTTGCCATTTATGACATCTGGAGATGCATTTGCTTGAAATCCCTGCAGGTTTTGCAGACATATACAGAATCATATTTTTATTTATTTATCGTGTCAGGGGCAACCAGACCATTGTATTACATTTCTAACAGAACAAAACAAACAAACAGATAAAAAAAAACACAAAGTTTGCAAACTTGGTAGTTGATTAAATGTCCTTTGACCAGTATCTCTTTGACCAGTGCCTCTGGTGTTGCCGCAAGAAGGTCCTCCATTGAGCAGGTTGCATTGCAGCAGGTGGTCAGTGGTTTGCTCTTCTCCGCATTCGCATGTCGTGGACTCCACTTTGTAGCCCCATTCCTTAAGGTTGGCTCTGTATCTCATGGTGCCAGAGCGCAGTCTGTTCAGCGCCTTCCAAGTCGCCCAGTTTTCTGTGTGCCCAGGGGGGAGTCTCTCATTTGGTATCAGCCATTGATTGAGGTTCTGGGTTTGAGCCTGCCACTTTTGGACTCTCGCTTGTTGGGGTGTTCCAGCAAGTGCCTCTGTAGATCTTAGAAAACTATTTCTTGATTTAAGTCGTTGGTGTGCTGGCTGATACCCAAACAAGGAATGAGCTGGAGATGTCACTGCCTTGGTCCTTTCACTATTGGCTGCTACTTCCCGGCGGATGTCAGGTGGTGCAATACCAGTTAAACAGTGTAATTTCTAAACAGTGGTTTTGATTCCTGGATTTTATGCTTCTATATTCACGCCTTGGATTCATGTTTTTCTGATTTCTTGCATTTTATTCGGGAAGTTTTGCCTTTTTTTATGGACTTTGCTGGACTATTACCCTGGACTACTTTGTTCCTGCTTATCTTCATACCTATTTGGATTTACCTATTTCTTTAAAGTGATTTTTTTACCTTACTGATTTTTAGTTATTTTCAATAAAAGGATTGTTCTCCATCCAACGGTGTGGTGTTTAAAGTCAGGGGGCTTTTTCTGTCCTGGAGTGCAACAACCAGAGTGTTAAAACATCTAAAAACAGTTACTTCAATTGTTAACAACACACAATCCAAAGTCATAACCCAGGGTCATTCCGAATGTCATTGCAGATTCTACATTAATTTATTGCACTGCAGCTATTCTCCAAACGCTTGGTCCCATACCTATGTTTTAACTTCCTTTCCGAAGGCCAGATGGGGAGGAGAATATAAAATATAACTGGGGAGGGAGTTCTATAGTCGTGGAGCCACCACTGAGAAGGCCCTGTCTCTCATCCCTGCCAGTCGCGCCTGCAAAGAAGGTGGGACCGAGAGCAGGACCTCCCCAGAAGATCTTAATCTCTGAGGTGGTTCATAGAGGGAGATACATTTGGACAGGTAAGCTGGGCCAGAACCATTTAGGGCTTTATAGGCTAAAACCAGCACTTTGAATTGTAGCAAACTGGCAGCAGCTACAACACTCCCTTTCCTAAACATGAGCCTTCATACAGAAGCAATGTTAGATCCTTAAAACATGTCTAGAGGAATGCTTATGTTAGAAGATGGAATTCTAACTTTGGACCCCTGGTAGCACAGCAGGCTAAACCGCTGAGCTGCTGAACTTGCTGACCGAAAGGTTGGCAGTTTGAATCCGGGGAGCAGGGTGAGCTCTTGTTGTTAGGCCCAGCTTTTGCAAACCTAGCAGTTCAAAAACATGCAAATGTGAGTAGATCATTAGGTACCGCTTCTGTGGGAAGGTAATGGTGCTCCATGCAGTCATGCTGGCCACATGACCTTGGAAGTGTCTATGGATAACGCCGGCTCTTCGGCTTTGAAATGGAGCACCACCCTGCAGAGTTGGACACAAGTAAACTTAATGTCAGGGGAAAACTTTTACCTTTACTTAACTTCGTTACATTGGCTCTCATTCAAAGGACAGTGGATGAAAGAAAATGGATCTCATCTGTTTCTATGAAATATACTGTTTTATTAATCTAACAATGAACTTTCAGTGGCTTGTGTTACTTTTATAGCAGAAACTTAATAATCTCTGTGTTAGTTTTGGGTTGAATTGTACTCTCTTTTTTCATTTCCCTCTAAAGGTTCAGCAATATAAGCAAGACCCCAAGCCATCCAAATGCCTACATTCGGTTTTCAGCGCCCACACAGGGGACGAGGCCTTTTCACATCAGGAATATGGACATCTTCAGGTATGGAGAGGAAACACGTTATCAAAATCTTGTTTGTAGCAGACAGGTTGGCTTTCGATAAAGTTGTTTTCCCCTGCTATTCAGTTGGACACTGGAATTCTTTAAAGATGTGCCAAACTATGGAATGTGGCAAATTGATTTCCTTGCTTTAACATACCAAAAATAGCAAGCTGTTATATATTTGCAAACAAGATCACTGTAGTGCCCAAAACACTTGTTATAAGGCAAGCAGTTGCCAGTAAGCAACTTTTCCATGAGCAAATAATTAATGTATTGTCGAAGACTTTCATGGCCAGAATTACTGGGTTGTTGTAGGTTTTTTCGGGCTATATGGCCATGGTCTAGAGGCATTTTTTCTTGACGTTTCGCCTGCATCTATGGCAAGCATCCTCAGAGGTAGTGAGGATGCTTGCCATAGATGCAGGTGAAACGTCAGGAAAAAATGCCTCTAGACCATGGCCATATAGCCCGAAAAAACCTACAACAACCCAACAAATAATTAAGCTTCACGCTCTATAAAAATAAAAATGTAATGTTCGTTTGTGGGATTAAAATAATTCAAAAAACACTAGACGAATTGCCGCCAAATTTGCCCTCAAGACACCTACTAACCCTAGGAAAAAATGATTTTGTCATTCGGGAGTTGTCGTTGCTGGGATTTATAGTTTACAGTTTATTTACAATCAAAGGGCATTCTGAACTCCACCAGTGATGTAATTGAACCAAACGTGGCACACAGGACTCCCATGACTAACAGAAAACACTAGAAGGGTTTGATGGGCATTGACTTTGAGTTTGGGAGTTGTAGTTCACCTACATCCAGAGAGCACTGAAGACTTAAGCAATGATGGATCTGCACCGAACTTGGCACGAATATTCCATTTATCCAAATAGAAAGACAGATGGAGTTTGGGGGAAATAAACCTTGACATTAGGGAGTTGTAGTTACTGGGATTTGAATTCACCTATAATCAAAGAGCATGCTGAAGCCCATCAACAACAGAAATGGGGCAAACTTCCCACACAGAACTCCCATCCAACCTCTGAGGATGCTTGCCATAGATGCAGGTGAAACGTCAGGAGAGAATGCCTCTAGAACATGTCCATACAGCCTGAAAAAACTTACAAGAATCTAGTGATTCCGGCCATGAAAGCCTTCGACAATACAACTCCCATCCAGTCCAACTCCCTTCACCAGAGCAAGAAAACCGTTCATTTTCTGGTCCCAATTCAAGGTGCAGGTGCTTACCTACAAAACCCTAAACGGTTTGGGACCCGCCTACCTGCGTGACCGCATCTCCGTATACGAACCCACACAATCTCTCCGATCATCTGGAGAGGCCCTGCTTACGATCCCACCTGCGTCGCAAGCGCGATTGGTGGGGACGAGGGACAGGGCCTTCTCCATGGTGACCTCCTGACTCTGAACTCTCTCCCCAAGGATATCAGACAAGCCCCAACATTGGCAGTCCTTAGGAAGAGCTTGAAGACGTGGTTGTTCCAGTGTGCCTTCCCAGAATAGGAAACTCCTAGCATCATGTCCCAATTGCACTTTACTAGAGATTAAGATTGTCTGGACACCGCACTTATCTCCAAAAACCTATCCATCTCACCTGTCAGGTTCAGCATTTTAAAATTTTAATCATTACATTTGGCCCGGCCTTAGTTTTAAATGTGTCATGGTGGTATTGTCTAATGTTTATTGCTATTGTTTTAATGTTTATTGCTTGTTTTATGAGTTTATTTATTGTTGTATTTTTATGCTGTTGTTTTATTGATGTGTTGGGCCTCGGCCTCTTGTAAGCTGCACCGAGTCCTTCGGGAGATGTTAGCGGAGTATAAATAAAGGTTTATTATTATTATTATAAAACGAAATCAAGGCCCTCCTGACAAAGAGCCATCCAGCCATAGATAGATATAGATAGATATGATTCACACATACACAGATATAGTATCATAGATTTGAAAGGGATTTGAAAGAAGGACAATAATATGTTGCATGTTCCAGAGTAGGCAAACCAGGCAATCTCCACATCAACACTGACAAAGAAACAGCAAGAAATATTGTATAAAACATAAAGAAATTACATATATTAGAAACCAACACTTTCTAATTCCAGACTGGGCCACAGCAACATGTGGCAGGGGATGGCTAGTTATACATAAAATTTTAACATAACAGATGCACAAAACTATAGTTTCACACCTATGTCAGATAAGTACAATAGAAAACCACTTAACATTGAATTCATAAGAATGGAACTGATTAATAAGTTTTATTTGACATTTTTAGTTTGATTTCTATTTTTCACTTGTTACTGCCTTTTTCACATTTTGTAGTGCCAAATATAATATAATTTGGCATAGTAGCGACCTGTGAGGTCCAGCCGATAGAAATCACAGCTCCTCCTGGCCAGTAACATTAATGATTTCCCCATTACAATGGCTGCTCCAGTGTTGGCTGCAGAGCATTCAGAATATTGTGAACTGCAAATGCTTTGCTGTTTTGCAGAGCGTACTTTGGCACGGGGCTAGTCCTTTTTGCATTTGTCTCTTTGTTTATTATTTTTAGCATATTGTTTCATAATTTTATGGACAATATTTGAAGCAGTCGTCCTGAAGTGAGTGTAGCAGATGTCTTCCTTCAACGTCAAGCTGAGTCATTATTTATTAGCGTCATCTGTTTGCCATTTTATCCAATATTTCCTGGTGCGCCTTTTAAAAAAGAGACATCTCAGAACCCTCAGAGCTAAGAACAATCAAAAGAGGCCGTTTAGCATTTAAGGAGCTGGTGTACATGCACCAAGGCATATTGCATGTACTCAGCAGCATCTGAGTGGATCATAATAATTTGTGGCAAGCTCTTAGTGGTCTGGGGATACCAAATCACCTTGTCTGACTCTTGAGGAATCTGTATAACAACCACATAGCAACAGTAAGAAGAGACCATGGAACAACAGACTGGTTCAAGATTGGGAAAGGCGTATGGCAGGGTTGTATCCTCTCCCCCAACCTATTCAACTTGAATGCAGAACACATCATGTGATATGTGGGGCTTGACGAATCCACGGCTGGAGTTAAAATTGCTCTATTATTATTTTATTACATTTATTATTTTGCTCAATTTATTATTGTTATTATTACATACATTATTTCACTCTCTTATTACTGTTATTATTACATTTCCATTATTTTACTCTATTATTTTTTTTATTTTACTCTATTTATTATTTATTATTTCACTCTCTTTAAGAAACATTAACAATCTTAGATATGCAGATGATACCGCTTTGATAGCCTAAAGCAAAGAGGAGCTGAGGAGCCTTATGAGCAAGGAGAAAGAAGAAAGTGCAAAAGCAGGGTGGCAGTGAATATATATATATATATATATATATATATATATATATATATCAACACACACACCAAAACAAAAAAACAAACAAAAAAACAAGACTATGGCAACCAGACTGATTGATAACTGGCAAATAGAGGGAGAAAACATGGAGGGAGTGACAGGTGACTGCAGACGCAGACTGCAGCCCAGAAATCAGAAGACATTTCCTTCTTGGGTGGAGAGCAATAAAATAGTGAAGAGTAGAGACATCACACTAGCAATGAAGATATGCATAGTTAAAGCCATGGTATTCCCTGTAGTAACCTATGGATGTGAGAGCTGGACCATAAGGAAGGCTGCGCGAAGGAAGAGAGATGCTTTTGAACTGTGGTGTTGGAGGGAAATTCTGAGAGTGCCTTGGACTGCGAGAAGGTCCAACCAGTCCATCCTCCAGGAAATAAAGCCTGACTGCTCACTGGAGGGAAGGATATTAGAGGCAAAATTGAAATATTTTGGCCACATCATGAGAAGACAGGAAAACTGGGAGAAGAGAATGATACTGGGGAAAATGGAAGGAAAAAGGATCAAGAGAAAAATGGACGGATGGCATCCTTGAAGTAACTGGCTTGACCTTGAAGGAGCTGCAGATGGCCATGCTGATAAGGATCTCTGTCATAGGCTGGTCCATGAGATCATGAAGAGTTGGAAGCAACTGAATGAATAAACAACAAACAGAATATAAGCCCAATTTTCCTAGTTTCCAACAGACCTCATAATCTCTGAGGATGCTTGCCACAGATGCAGGCAAAACGTCAGGAGAGAATGCTTCTAGAACATGGCCATATAGCCCGAAAATCCTACAACAACCTAACAGAGTTTTTGGCTTCTGCTATATGATATATTTACTTCTTGGGAGGAGAGCAATGTCCAATCTCGATAAAATAGTAAAGAGCAGAGACATCACACTGGCAACAAATGTCTGCACAGTCAAAGCCATGGTATTCCCTGTAGTAACCTACGGATGTGAGAGCTGGACCTTAGGGAAGGCCGAGCGAAGGAAGGTAGAGGCTTTTGAACTGTGGTGTTGGAGGAAAGTTCTGAGAGTGCCTTGGACTGCGAGAAGATCCAACCAGTCCATCCTCCAGGAAATAAAGCCCGACTGCTCACTGGAGGGAAGGATACTGGAGACAAAGTTGAAGTACTTTGGCCACATCATGAGGAGACAGGAAAGCCTGGAGAAGACAATGATGCTGGGGAAAGTGGAAGGCAAAAGGAAGAGGGGCCGACCAAGGGCAAGATGGATGGATGGCATCCTTGAAGTGACTGGACTGACCTTGAAGGAGCTGGGGGTGGTGACGGCCGACAGGGAGCTCTGGCGTGGGCTGGTCCATGAGGTCATGAAGAGTCGGAGACGACTGAACAAATGAACAACAACAACATATGATATATTATATAGTATAATATAATATATTATATGGGAACCCCCAGTGGCACAGTGGGTTAAACGGCTGAGCTGTTGAGCTTGTTGACTAAAAGATCACAGATTCGAATCCGGGGAGCGGCATGAGCTTCTGCTGTCAGCCCCAGCTTCTGCCAACTTAGTTCGAAAACATGCAGATGTGAGTAGATCAATAGATACCGCTCCGGCGGGAAGGTAACAGCGCTCCATGCAGTCATAGCAGCCACGTGACCTTGGAGGTATCTATGGACAACGCCAGCTCTTTGGTTTAGAAATGGAGATGAGCACCACACCCCAGAGTTGGACACGATTGGACTTAATGTCAGAGGAAAACCTTTACCTTTACCTATATGATTTATTAACATACATTTCTGTTTCTGGGCACCATTGATGATCTTTTGCTCCAGTCTTTATAGGACTAAAGAGCTGTAATGAGTTCCAAATAGCCATTTGGGGAGGACTGAGCTGAAAAGAGCATTATTTCTTTGAAGCAAAAGTATTATATTTTCAGTATAATTACTAACATTTACTCATTACATCCGAAACAAAAGTGACTGCTAAAGCCCTTTGATTTTTTTTACAACCACTCTCAACCAAAATTGTGGCAAGCAAGACTTTTTAAAAAAACACATTTTAAAATGGAAACAATTCCATCTGAGTTCATGAGTCCAAGCAAAAACATTGATATTGCTAGTTTCCTTATTTTCCCTTCCTTTTCCTAGGTCTTGCAGCTTGACAGACTGCTATTAAATACCGACATTAAAACAGAATACTCTGCCTTGAAATCCAAACTTCATCAGTTACACATGCAAGCTGAAATCACACTGCAAATCATCTACCTGACTCCAGGGATGTTTTGGCATAAGCGGTAGCGAAATATGTAGCTTTAAAAATTGATCAAAATGGGAGCCCCGAGAGGAGAGGGAACAACTGTTTCTTAATTTTGTCGCTTGCAGCTGTAAATAAATCTTTCCTTAAACAGATGCAGCGAAGCCATTGTCAGAAGGCCTTGTTGAGGGGCTTCTCCTGATCCCTGAACTGTGCTCGATCTCGTGGAGGTGCTGTTCACACTGTCCAGAGTTAATTGGAACAGCAAGCCCACAGCTGCGAGCCGTGTTTCAGCTTACGGACCCCTTACTGTACCAGGGCATGCATTCATTCGCCATCTGTCACTGCTAGCTTCACATACTCTTGATAATTTCACTTTAGCCACTTCCGTTCATTGGCACATTGACTGCAGAGGATGTCAAGGTGACATAAGATCTACATGATGTCTTCTTCACTGGACAATGCACATTTTAGACATATTAGACTTATTTCTGAGTATATTTGATTTGCCGATTCCAAAAATAGTGCAGTCCCTAGATTCAGAATGTATGCCATCTACCAGTCGCCATCTGCTCACTCATAGAAAACCACTGTTCTGTCGCGCGCTGGGCCTGTAACTGTTGGGGTTCAGCCTGCGTGTGAACCTGAACCTGATTCTCTGATTCCTGAACCTGATTCTCTGATTGCTGAACCTGAACCTGATTCTCTGATTGTTTGTCCTGATGTTACTGAACATGTATTTTCCCCTGATGGTAATGAAAGTGTTGATACTGAGGTCAGTGGCTTGGAAAGTGAAACTACACATTCTGATGAGATTTCTGCAGAGCCAAGCGGTGATAGCTCTCCAGAGGAGTTAGCACCTGGCTTCCTTAATGAGGATAGAAAAAGACAGATTTGGAAAAACAGGAGTGAATCGCAGAGTCTGCGAAGGTCAAGCAGATTAAAGGAAAGGGAAACACAGACTTCAAAGCCTGGAGGCGTGTCATGAAACAGTTTCATCAGTTTCATGCCTCTCACCGGGTTGTCTCGTTAGATCAGGCATCGTTTAGACTGAGGCATTACCTTGGCAGATTTCCCGTTTCTCGTGGCCTACATCCCAAGAGGCTTCTAGTTCTCCAAGGACGGTTAGTGGTTTGCTAACAGTTTCCAGGTTTTTACAGTGTGGCTTTTGGAATTTTGATCAAGTTCATGGATATTCTTGACTGCTGAATTTTACTGTGGCTTTTTGACTTTGCATTTTCTTCTATTTTGTAATCATTTTTCATCAATAAAAAGGGATTGTTTTCCCATAGTTTAGTGTGGTGGTTTGTTATCTAATGGTGTCGCTCCCTGCTCTGGGTTGCAACAGTAACAGCTGTCTTTTCTATAGGATGTATACTTTAAGCCCAGTGGGAAGCCAGGGCGCCTCAAAGAGAGGTTCTCAGGGATTTTTCTGAAGTGATTGTCTTTAGAGTTTTTGACAATACAACAAAGTCTGTATTATGGAACAAACAACAAATTTTCAATGGTTCAAACAACACTTCAAGGCTTTCTTAGACTAGTCCTCAATGGACTGGTACCTGACTTTAATTAACTGTACTTTCTCTGTAGGAAAAAACCCTATTTAACCTCTTCCAGGGTGTTTACTATCTATGCCTCATCGGTGTGGGTCCTACTACCAATTCCAAATGCATCTGGGTATCGAGTAGACCTACCAGCCAAGGCTTGTAGATGTTTCAGATGGAGTTCCGTGGATCTGTAATGCTGTCCTCCCTCAGAGAATTCTTTGAAACTTCAGGGCTGTTTTCCCTCTGATTGCTGTGAGGCTGAGAGGCTGTGAGCTCTCAGCCAGAGCATTGGGACCTTTCCCCTGGAATTTCTGTTTCTGTTTCGCCGGATGTTCTTGAGAAAAGAAGTTTTTCTACGGGATGAGCTGGTCTACGTCCTATAGGTTAGCTTCCTTATGAGAGACTGCCCAAAAAATGGCTCCTTTCCCTCCCAGGAGCCCTGAACAAGGGGTGGAACCAAAGCTTAATTATGATGGACAGGTGGCCTGCCCTATGATTGCAAACAGATAACAGAAAGAAAATAAAGTTGGAGCTCCTGGTACAGCTGTACCAGCACAACCACGATAACCATATCTAAGAAACTAGAACTGATGTGGTCAATCCAATGCAATTTTCTGAATCAGCACCCCCAATAATGATGATGATGATGATAATAAACTTTATTTATACCCCGCCACCATCTCCCCAAAGGGGACTTGGGGCGGCTTACATGAGGCCAAGCCCAACAAAAATACATCAGTAAAAACAACAAAGCAAGCAAGCAAGCAAGCAAGTAAAACACAATACAAATATTATAAATAACATATAAGCAGTAACACACAAGAGATTTAAAACACTGTGAGCAGGCCCAGATGTAGTAGATTAAAAATTTTAAAACACTGGGCGTGAACAGAAGTAGGATATATCGAAACAGGGGGGTTTTAGAGGGTAATGTAGGGAAATCAATCCAACGGGTAGATAAAGTGCTTCAGAGGACATATTGCAGAAAATTGGTCAGGTCAGGGCATTGTTTCCTTTATTCAGGGAAGGCACACTGGAATAGCCACGTTTTCAAGCTCCCCCTAAAGACTGCCAATGTGGGGGTTGTTTGATATCCCTGGGGAGTGAGTTCCAGAGTCAGGGGGCCACCATTATTATTATTATTATTATTATTATTATTATTATTATTATTATTTGTTTCTTGCACTTCTACCCTGCCCTTCTCAACCCCCGAGGGGGGACTCAGGGCGGCTTACAAAAGGCACAATTCGATGCCGGCACAACAATAAGGTAAAAATAAACATATGTAAACAGTAATTAAAACAATTAAAACAATCCATTATACATCATACATCAAAATCTATCAAAATCTATAAAACCAATCTAATGCTCAACGTTTGCCAACTCAGAGTTCATAAATTCAATTCCACACTGTCAAGTCCATCAGTTGTTCGTCGCTAGTCCTTTGTCTGTCTGCCAGATTACCCAAAGGCCTGGTCCCAAATCCATGTTTTTAATTTCCTTCTAAATGAGAGGAGGGAAGTTGATGATCTAATTTCCCCAGAGAGCGAATTCCACAGGTGAGGGGCCACCACCGAGAAGGCCCTGCTCCTCGTCCCCACCAATCTCATTTGTGATAGAGGTGGGGACGAGAGCAGGGCCTCCCCAGAAGATCGTAAACTCCGAGGCGGGACGTAGAAGGAGATACGTACGGACAGATACCATAAAGAAGACCCTTTCCCTCGTCCCCACCAATCGTGCCTGCAAAAGGGGCGGGAGCGAGAGCAGGGCCTCTCCAGACGATCGAAGAGATTGCATGAGTTCGTAAGCCGAAATGCGGTCACGCAGGTAGCCGTTCAGGGCTCTGTAGGTGAGAACATGCACCTTGAATTGGGACCGGAAAATGAATGGCAGCCAATGGTGTTCCTTAACCAGGGGGGTAGACCGCTCCCTGTAAGTCGCTCCAGTTAGTAACCTGGCTGCCACCCGTTGGACCAATTGAAATTTCCAAGCCGTCTTCAAGGGCAGCCCCACGTAGGGCACATTGCAGTAATCCAATATGGAAGTGACTAAGGCGTGGACCACCATGGCCAGAAACAGGCCTGAAAACCAAAACACCAAGAATATTTTTTGTTATTATTGTTTTGTTCTGATGGGGTGCATCTTTTATTGATTGTGTATTTTTTTTCTTTTCTCTTTGCTTCAGATAAATGCTGTGTCGTTGTTCCTCCTCTACCTGGTTGAGATGATATCATCTGGTCTGCAGATTATCTACAATACAGATGAGGTACACAATTAAAACAGGCCGAATTCCTCTTTGTGTCTACATAACTTAAATGAATTCAAAGCTAAATTTTCATGACTGCGATTTTGGCATGTGTTACAACAGGCTTATTCAACTATATTTTGGATGGTGTTTGTAAGGATGCAGTTAACTCCATGGACACTATCCTTTAAGATGTTTGAAGAGTCGCACCTTTTCATGTTTTGTGCAAAATCTCAGTTTAGTCATCTTAGACCTCTTCTACATATAAAAATCCAGACTATCTGCTTTGAATTGGATTGTATGGCAGTGTAGACTCATATAATACAATTCAAAGCAGATAATGTGCTTTGATAATCTGGATTATATGGCAGTGTAGAAGCGGCCTTGGTTTCTGGGGAGAGGTCTTGAGTCATTTATTTACCGAATATACTTGAGTACAAGTCAAGTTTTTCAGCCCTTTTTTAAAGATGAACTTGGCTTATACTCAAGTCAAAGTTACTTATTATTTTACTCTGTTATTATTTTAAATTTTAGTACATTTATTATTTTATTCTATTTATTATTATTATTACATTTACACTATTTTACTCTATTATTGTTATTATTACATGTATTACATGTATTATTTTACTCTATTATTACATTTATTATTTTTCTCTATTATTATTACAGGTATTATTTTACTCTCATTATTATTCTTACATTTATTATTTTACTCTCTTTATTATTATTATTATTGTACCCTATTTATTATTGTTGTTACATTTATTATTTTACTTTATAATTACTGTTGTTATTACAATTCCATTATTTTACTCTATTATTATTATTACATTTATTATTTTACTCTCTTTATTATTACATTTATTATTTTTATATATTATTATTACAATTATTATTTTACTCTTATTATTAATCTTACATTTATTATTTTACTCTCTTTATTATTATTATTGTACTCTTTTATTATTGTTACATTTATTATTTTACTTTATAATTACTGTTGTTATTACAATTCCATTATTTTACTCTATTATTATTATTACATTTATTATTTTTATCTATTGTTATTACATTTATTATTTTACTCTATTATTACTGTTGTTATTAAAATTCCATTATTTTACTCTATTATTATTATTATTACATTTATTATTTTGTTGTTGTTCATTCGTTCAGTCGTCTCCAACTCTTCGTGACCTCATGGACCAGCCCACGCCAGAGCTCCCTGTCGGCCGTCACCACCCCCAGCTCCTTCAAGGTCAGTCCAGTCACTACAAGGATGCCATCCATCCATCTTGCCCTTGGTCGGCCCCTCTTCCTTTTGCCTTCCACTTTCCCCAGCATAATTGTCTTCTCTAGGCTTTGCTGTCTCCTCATGATGTGGCCAAAGTACTTCAACTTTGTCTCTAGTATCCTTCCCTCCAATGAGCAGTCGGGCTTTATTTCCTGGAGGATGGACTGGTTGGATCTTCTTGCAGTCCAAGGCAGTCTCAGAACTTTCCTCCAACACCACAGCTCAAAAGCATCGATCTTCCTTCGCTCAGCCTTCCCTAAGGTCCAGCTCTCACATCCGTAGGTTACTACAGGGAATACCATGGCTTTGACTAGGCGGATCTTTGTTGCCAGTCTGATGTCTCTACTCTTCACTATTTTATCGAGACTGGTCATTGCTCTCCTCCCAAGAAGTAAGTGTCTTCTGATTTCCTGGCTACAGTCTGCATCTGTAGTAATCTTTGCACCTAGAAATACAAAGTCTGTCACGGCCTCCACATTTTCTCCCTCTATTTCCCAGTTGTCAATCATTCTTGTTGCCATAATCTTGGTTTTTTGATATTTAGCTGCAACCCAGCTTTTGCGCTTTCTTCTTTCACCTTGATTAGAAGGCTCCTCAGCTCCTCCTCGCTTTTGGCCATCAGAGTGGTGTCATCTGCATATCTGAGGTTGTTAATGTTTCTTCCAGCAATTTTTACCCCAGCTTTGCATTCATCCAGCCCCGCACATCGCATGATGCGTTCTGCATACAAGTTAAAAAGGTTGGGTGAGAGTATGCAGCCTTGCCGTACGCCCAATCTTGAACCAGTCTGTTGTTCCGTGGTCAGTTCTGACTGTTGCTACTTGGTCCTTGTACAGATTCCTCAGGAGAGAGGGAAGGTGGCTTGGGATGCCCATCCCACCAAGAACTTGCCACAATTTGTTATGATCCACACAGACAAAGGCTTTAGAGTAGTCAATGAAGCAGAAATAGATGTTTTTCTGGAACTCCCTGCCTTTCTCCATTATCCAGCGGATATTGGCAATCTGGTCTCTCGTTCCTCTGCCTTTTCTAAACCCAGCTTGAACATCTGGCAACTCTCGCTCCATGTCTTGCTGGAGTCTTCCTTGCAGGATCTTGAGCATTTCCTTACTGGCATGAGAAATAAGGGCCACTGTACGGAAGTTGGAGCAGTCTTTCGCATTTCCCTTTTTTGGTATGGGGATGTAAGTTGATTTTTTCCAGTCTGATTATTTTACTCTATTATTATTAGAAAGACGTGTAAGCACATTTACACTGAAGAAGGTTAGAAAATTATTTTATCAGAGTTGGGCAGTCTAATCTTAAATTACAGTTTTATGTAACTATTAAAAACATTTAACCCACTGATGCCTCAATTACTGTAATTTTATTGCTATCTATTTTTATTTTGAAATGTACCAGTAGCTGCTGCATTTCCCACCCTCAGCTTACACTCAAGTCAGTACGTTTCCCAGTTTTTTGTGGTAAAATTAGATGCCTTATCTTATATTCGGGCCGGCTTATACTTGAGTATATATGGTATCTTTTTAGCAGTCCCTGATATCCACGGGACTCTTCTCCGGGGCCACATTTCAAATAAATTGCATTTTCTTCCTATCAGCTTTCTTCACTGTCCAGCTTTTACAACCAAACATGGAAATACAATGAAATGGACAATCTCACCATCAGTGAGATATCTTGACACTTTCTTGCCTTGTTCCTTCATAGATGCCCCTCTGGTCTTCTTCTGATTTCTTGACTGTAGTTGCCATTCTGACTAATGACTGAGCCAAGTTATGGAGAATCTTGGAATAACTTCTATGTCTTTATCTCTGTGTAAAAGATTAGACAATCAGTCCAAGTATGCACAAAGATTTTAAATACCAAAAGAAATCCTCCTGTTCCCCCCTGTGGTAATAGACCTTTAAAATCCACTTTTAATGTGTCTTCTCCCAAATCCATGGTTCTATTATGGAAATAAATACTAGGTGGGCTAAGACTGGAAACTATAACTTAAATGTGCTATTTCCTTTGGTGCCATTTTCATCCATCATCTTGCATCTGTTTGCAAGTTCGGCATAGATTGAAATGGGTAATAAATCAAGATAAGTACCTTGATTTTTCCTTTAGAAATGACATAAAAGCCTTTCTCACCACAGGAACGTTGGTTACCTTAGTAGTCTTACATGTAATGCATTAAAACTTCGCTTCATTTTGTGGAATTTACATTTCAAGACATTACCAGGTCTTGCTTTTGACTTTTATAATCAAGTGTCCTTAACACTACTTTAGATGCCATACAAATTTAAAACGCACAGAAAATGATCCAGAAAGCGATGGCTCATAATAAATCCTACAATCCACGTTTCTGGGTTCTTAGGAATACATTTTTTTGATATTGAAAGAGAAAGTTTTTAAAAGAAAAGTTGAGATGCATCTTTCATCCTGTAACTTATCCTGTTGTGAATTAAGAATTGATAAAAACTGTCCAGGCTAAACTGGACAAGAAGTTGGATATTTTGGGTTACAATCTCACATAGATTAAAATAATGTAAAATAGAGGAGCCAACGTGCATTCAGCTTGAATGCAGAACACATCATGCAATGTGTTGGACTTGATAAATCCAAGGCTGGAGTTTGAAACATTAACAACCTTAGATATGCAGATGATACCACTTTGATGACCGAAAATGAGGAGGAGCTGAGGAGCCTTCTAATCAAGGTGAAAGAAGAAAGGGCAATTGCTAGGTTGCAAGTTAAACATTAAAAAACCAAGATTATGGCAACAAGAATGATTGACAACTGGGAAATAGAGGGAGAAAACGTGGAGGCCGTGATAGACTTCGTATTTCTAGGCACGAAAATTACTGCAGATGGAGACTGCAGCCAGGAAATCAGGAGACGCTTCCTTCTTGGGAGGAGAGCAATGACCAATCTTGATAAAATAGTGAAGAGTAGAGACATCACACTGGCAATGAAGATTCGCATATTTAAAGCAGTGGTATTCCCCGTAGTAACCTATGGATGCGAGAGCTGGACCATGAGGAAGGCTGAGCGAAACAAGATTTGAATTGTGGTGTTGGAGGAAAATTCTGAGAGTGCCTTGGATCACAAGAAGATCCAACCAGTCCATACTTCAGGAAAGAATATCCGACTTCTCACTGGAGGGAAGGATCTTAGAGGCAAAATGAAGTACTTTGGCCACATAATGACAAGAAAGCTTGGAGAAGATAACGATGCTGGGGAAAATGGAAGGAAAAAGGAAGAGGGGCCAACCAAGGGCAAAATGGATGGGTGTTTTCCTTGAAGGGACTGGCTTGACTTTGAAGGAGCTGGGGGTGGAGACAGCTGACCAGGTGCTCTGTTGTGGGCTGGTCCATGAGCTCACAAAGAGTTGGAAGCGACTGGATGAATAAACAAGAAGAGGAGCTAGGGAAAAATCTGATCTGAATCATGTTACTCCTCCAAACCCTCCAGTATGTTTAGTTGTTGATTAGTTCTGCTCTGTTTGTTGAAGGGAGAGGCAGTGGGTGAGATCATGCAAATTCCACACCAGTTGAGAAACTAAGAAGCACTGGGATGCCTGTGGTGAAGGAAACACCTAAAATCTCGAATGAAATTGTTACCGAATGAAACCATTCCCGGATGGTGGGCAGTATGGTGTTTGGGGAGGACATTGTCAGGAGTTGGGAGTTGGGTTATACCAGGTATCCTCAAACTGCAGCCCTCCAGCTGTTTGGACCTC